TTTATTTTTGGCTGTCTCACTTTTACTAGTTTTTTAATCTCAGTGCTCGTGTTAATGCACATGCAAATGTTGGTCTTATTACGCTGCAGTCAGTCTATACTTTCCTGCCTACCCATGGCTCTACTGCAGTCTATGGTTTGATAAATGCAGTCAGGATTTTTTTTTTTAACCTGTCCACTTTGCATTTGTATAAGATCAAAGATTGTAGGAAGCCACTTGGATGTAATAAACAATGTTATAAACAATGAAAAGTGCAACACAGCCTCTCTTGAGCAGAAGATGAATGCTTATTGCCGAAATATTTCATCCCATTACCCTGCACTGCCGTACATTGTCTTGTATAAAACTAGTGTTTTAGAAACCTACCCATTTAAAAAGTGCTCAAAGAGGTGCAACTGCCCATCCTTACACACCACTGCCAGCCTCACTGCCTGTAAAACACACAAAAAAGCCCAAAATGTTCACACACAAGAACTAACATGAAAAAATATTTAAGAACAAAAGTTCTAATAGAAAAGCAGTACAGAAGACACGTTTTAGCAAATGCTTTGAATCATTAAATTCTAAGCGTTTGCTAAAAAAAAAAACTTATGAATATTTTCTCATTTCCTAATTAAGAAAATTATCAACATAGAGTCTACGACACTGTTTCAAGTTATTATCTTTTACCCTGTTAAAGACCGACTGCAAGTAATTTAACATACAGGAGAAGTAATGCATTACCTCTTCCTTGCTGTTGGATGTAACGAGGTCAATGTGCTGCGGCTCATCCGTCAGTGTGAAGGACACCACTGAGTTCTTGTCTTTTCCATCTTCTCGTACTTGCCTTCAGTAAGATAGCTTTGAATTAAGTCATGCAAATCTGACTGCAGTGCATTTTCATACATGCACTTAATTACACAACATCAAACATACTAAAATCAACTCTGCACTTACCATACACTGAGCAGTCGATCATGGGCAGCACCTGACAGAAAGTAGAGGCCATTGCTGTCAGGGGGTCGTGTGGTGGCAAAGCGCAGGGTCGTCACAGCCGTGGAGTGGCCTGTGAACTTCTGCAAGGAAAAAGACAAAAACAAAAAAAACAGCTGAGTTCAGGTCTAAGTAAAGCACTATTATAACACTTTAATACAATACTGACTCTTCTGGAGTGTGACTAACATATCTGCATTAAAACCAAGTTTATTAGGTGACTTATGTCTAATAATAATAATAATTTTTTTTTTTTAAAAAGAATCTGGAATTTAGCTCACCCTGTAAACTTCCTTGGTGTCCAAGTCCCACATCTTTATTATGTGTCCAGCTGACAGCAGCAGTTTACCATCAGGGCTCACACACAAACTGGTCACCGCTGCACGGTCTGCCTTCCACTTACTGTGAGAGAGACGATGACAATTTTAGGTTCACTACTAGCTTTTCCCATAAAACAACTTAACCGGGGCAGGCTTCCATGATATATTAACATCTACCACACACATCTAGTGGCTCATTTTGGCACTCCCCCCTCCATTTCTTAGACTTTTTGTTTTGTAGCTGTCCTCATTCAGCTGCTTCTCCAGAGAGAATCTTGTCCTGCAGTCATACATATTTCAAGTCCCGTATTTAGGACTACATCTTCTAGTTCTCAATCCACTCTGGAGAGCCACTGTGAGCAAGGCCACTAACCAGAACCTGCATGAGGCAGAGTACTGTCATGTGAGAGTATGTGAAGCTCGCTGAAGAGAAGAACAAGACCAACTGCAGTCCAAGGCAGTGAAGCTTGAGCTCATCTGCAGGGTGAAAGACTCATTGGAGAGGCAGCTGACTACATCTCCTAAGTTTAAGTTTTTTTCATGCTTTCTTTTTGATGTCATAGAAACCACATTAAAGCACTTTCCTCTCCTCTTTCCTCGTGATCAGCTTTAAATATCAGCAGCCCATTCAACCTTTTAAAAACAGCAAGAAAAAAACAACAACACCCTTTTCTTATCCCTTAAAATCACAAACTGATCTAGTGAGCACAGAGTGAAAAACCATTTAAGTCTGAATGAAATTGAAGTATTTTTAAGGTTAGCAAAGATCGATGTGGAAAGCTGGACCTGAATGGCACTTGCACCACTTTGACAACCTTCAGACAGCTAGCCACACAACAACCAAAGTAGAACTCGTTTGGTTGATGCAAGCAGTTAAACAAAATGCTCCACTAACTGCACCAACAAAAAGAAGATAATGACTTGTGAAGTGTGAGAAACACCTTGGTGTTTTCTATCACTGCATTATTCTTTCTCCTACTGAAGTGATGAACCTAAAAAGTTTATGGCCAACAGCATACTATTTACTGGTGCTCTCTCCTAATAACAGCAAGAAACAAACACTCTCCAACCCACTTTGTGCACCTCGAATGGGCTTTACTGAGCATCAAGTGAAGATTCATGGTGGCATTAGTGCTCATGATTGTTGCTGCTGACTGTGCCTGTGTAGCTAATATATCTGTCACCAGACAAGAGGCTTTCATGATGAAATATAGTGATAGTAAATGTCTGATGGTATAACGTTCAATGATGCTGGTGTATTTTAAGCCTTGGTGGGTCTGTGAAAGACAGGCATGCTTAAGCTGGAACCACATTCTTACTTTTCTCACCACCAGTGTTGTTTCTACAGGTAGAAAAACAAGAAAACAATGTCCTTTCGGAAACAGTGCAATTTTAAGAGGTAATATTACAATATACGCTCTATGTGAAGGATAGTTTAGTGTCAAAAATATAAACACTTTAAGAAGGACATGATTTATACCCAGAATGTGACATCCTTTTTGAAAAACAGATTTTCAGGTGTGAACTCTTCAAGTGTTTCTCACAAACAAACTTGCAATGTCACATAGATGTATTTAGAACTTCTCTTAACATTCAAGTGTTTACAGATGTCTTTTTATGCTTCTAAAGTACTGTCTTGTTTAAATGTAGGAAGCACTTCAAGTCCAAATGTGTTAAAGAAGCCTGTGACAGTGAGCATGACACCGTCCACCACCGTGTTGGACTGTTCTTTTCTAACAGTTCTGGCTGCACAAAGACAATTTCTGACAAATACATTACTAGATAACATTGTGTGACTTTAAAGGGATATCTATTAAACAACCTAAAACAGGTTTTTATAAAACAATGGCAACTAATTGTATTATAGCTGAAAAAACTGTGTTGCAGCATGAACAAATAAAGAGAGCCTAAATAGCAAATATCAGAAATAATTTTCAGGCTAACAAACCAGTTTTTAACCAGTTATCATTACAGGAAATGTATTGATCAGTGATTGGTCATTTGTTCTTGGTTTAAACAAACTATCCCAAAGAGAAAGTAGTTACTGACCTTCTTGTCTTGCCAGTCTGCAAGTCCCACTCTACAATGTTTGTGTCATCTGAACCACTGTATAATAAGCTTTCTTCAGGGTGCCACTGGACACAGTTCACTCCTCCACTGTGGGCTCCATCCTGGCACACAAATTGCACAGTTAGTAACTGTAAACAACTAGTCCTATTATATTGGGGGGAAAAAGTGAGTGTAACACTAAAAGAAAAACATAACATTTTTCATCCTGCATAAGGTTGCAAAGAAGCGATTCTTTGCAAACCATGTAAGGTCCCAAACTTACCAGGGTGCAATGCAATGCTCCCTTTGCTGTACTATAGATGAGCACAGTTCCAGCTGCTGTGCCCATGGCCAACAGGTCTGCCTTCTCCTCCACCTGCACCGCCTCCGATTTCCTCTTCTTCCTCTGAGGCCCCTCCTGACACAAAGCATATTTAAGGTGATGATATTATACATAATGTAAAGCAATTAGAATTAATAGCATTTCTTTCAGGTCCTGGTATCAAGTCAACACTAACATATAATCAAAGCCAGGAATCTGTATGGGGACTGAAAACAGGACCAGTGCATCACTGAATACGGCGGCATTAGTGCCTAGTACTATGGTTCCACATATTAAACCAATTCTAAGGCAGCACAGTGACTGCTAAAAGAATAACTGCAAACAATTTCTCGTCTTAATGACATTTAAAAGAATCATAAAACTGAATCCGAGAACAGAAAACTAGTTTTCTAATCTCAGTTATCATCCGTGGATTTAAAACGGCAGTACTTTCAGCGCCCAATTTATGTTTACTTTGGCCTCGTAACAAACTTTTAACAAACTACCCCTCGATAAACTGAGGTACAGCTAGCGGACCCTGCTTCTAGAAGTGTCATGGTGGCACGCTCCGCTGAGCTGATGCTAACTTCAATAACTCGTTAATTCACCATAATAACCATTTAAAAACAAAGAAAAACATCTTTTTTAGTTAAAGTCGCCACTTTCAGAGTTTTTCAGACTAACTTCGCCATAATATACGAAATTAAGACATGTTCGTCATTTGCTTGGACCACCATGTGGGACTAACATGTGCGTTCTTCGCATCTGTGGAAAACTAGCGAGCTGCTAACGTGGCTCCGCCGCTAACCACGTCTGTCAGCTCCGTAAAGCATTTCAAACGGCAAACGTCAGGGCCTTCTGCGCTGAGTAAAAACTTCACTCTTTGAAAAGTAACACTTCTCTCGATTTAACAACTGCTCCTTTATACCACGTTGTCAAATGCGGCTTTATTCGGGCCTCGCTAGCTGCTGACGCTAACAACAGCCTCACGTACCTTGACTGTCCGGCATGGTCCCCAGGCTATGCACGTACAGGTGGCACTCAGATGAGCTGAAGGCACGTATTCCTGGTGAAGTGTTTTACTATCTGTGTTCCAAATTCGAAGTCTGCCATCCTGGGCACACAGCGCTAAGAACTGTCGTGATTTAGGTGAAAAAACGCAGGGTAGCTGCAGCGAAGAACTGCCACCGTCGGCCGCCATTTCTGAAGCGCTACTTGCGTCTGCGTGCGTGCGTGCGCCGTGGTGTACACAACCCACGTGTGGCCCTCTGAGCACATGCGCACTTGGTCCCAGCACCTCCCACTCGCTTCGACGTTCTTCTTTGGGTTTTCCCGGCAGCAGGCAACATTTCAGTTTGCGTTACTGCCTCCTAGTCGTCAATAACTAACTGTTCACACTTTATGATTTCTTACAGTGCAGCAATTAGCCCGAAAAAACACTTCTCATCAGCCGAGTCTCCACAGTCAAGTAGACATTTAACCCTGTTCTTATCGACCTAATCTTTGCAGCTAACCACTGCTCTGTTCAACAGTCATTTCTCTTGCCAAATATCAGTGCAAGAGCCAGCAATAGTCAGGATCTATCCGCTAGAATTCCTTGCTGTTTCGTGTCGGTTTCCTGTTTCCTCTTACTATTTATTTTGTATTTCATGTGTCTTAGTGCTACTAATCAAGTATTTTTTTCGATTTCGTGCGTATAAAATGATCAAAGATAAAACAGAAATGTTGCTGTGAGACCAACCACGGTAGCATTGTGCTGTATTAATACAGCATGTTCAACATTAAAAAAAAGTGACATATATATACACTGGAATAACTATTTTGTTTCAGTTTATAATTAAAAAAGAATATATCTCTTCCTTTTTAATCAATGGTAAATAGAATAAAAATGAATTAAATGTATGATTTGAAATAATAGCTCTTTCTTTTTTTTAGCCACCACATATCTGTAGGGCAGCGTAAATACAGAAATCTTGTTCCTTCCAGACAACAAGCAGGTTGATTTATGCTGTGTTCATGTTTCCCTCCAAAGCAAGCATATCCTTAGTTGTAAATATCAGCCTTTACAATCGGTCAATGCATTTACTTGTACTGACAAAATAGGTCGTAACTTGGGTGTTCCCATTTATTTTACAACTACCTATAAATAACACAATTTGTAGGGTACTTATCTCTGTATCATCCTATAGGATCCTCATATCCCCACACTGTAAATTTCTCCCAAGGCTCTTGAATGCATCACCAACAAATGAACTCATCCAGTGTACATATCCACATTCAGGTTTATATATGCAAGTTCATAAATAATAATAATGATACAGCTTTTTTTTTGCTGTAAATAACACAAACTCAACACAAATTTTCAAAATATTAATGTCATATGAAATTAAATGTCAAGAAGACAGAAATTTTCCTTTTAGACGTGTTACTGTTTGAAGTTATTTTCACCTTAAAAGTTGTTCCAAATTTGCAAATTCTACAACTTACAGCTCTCAAGCACTCAGTTTTATATTCTCAGCTGTAGAACAGGCTGTCCAATGATGTTAATGTTTTAGGTTATTACTTAAAACATTAAATTACTAACTTACGTCTTTTAATTTTTTCTTATGAGTACTAAAATACTAAAGTCAAGCGTTGTATTTTCATCAAATAATTATTTTAAGTTTCATTGTTTGCCCATTTTTCCTCCTTTTATTGTGCTGAACATCATGTGTATTCAAAAATTAACAACAAATGGCAGATTATTTCGCACCGACCAATAACACAGACTAATATATAATAAGTAAATTCAAAGATAAAAACCCAAAATAGATTCAACTTGTACAAAGCAATAAACCAGTAAAAGGGGTCAGAGCTAAACTAAAAATAAAATTGTAATTAGTTTTTAAGAGAATAATTTGTGGGCTGCTTCATTTTAGACTAAACAGCTTTAAATAACTTATCAAGTAGTGCTGATCACGCATCTGTGTGACTTATAAACTTGAAATTTTGAGATACCCAACTCCAAATATCAAGTTATGGATTGCATCCCCTCGTGGCAGAAACAAATTTCCATACTATACACATCATTGACAAACCTACATTTATGAATTAATTTTTTTTCCAAATAAAACAAAATTGTTAACGTAAGTTCAACTTTTCTATTCATTAAAATGATTCTCGTTCTCCATTTAAATAAATCTCCTGTTGTTGAAAACATTTTTATTGTGAAATTTAGTGTGAAATTAATCATGCTTGTAAAGTAGAGCGAAAACTGTCGATGGAAACGGTTTGAAAGATAATCCAAAGAGTTCAAAGTCACACCGTAATAAAAAGTCTATTCATCGAAAAGTTTGGAATATTAAATTAGGCGTGATGATACAAAATTACATTTTATTTTACATTTTTAAATCATAGTTGAATGAGGCATATAAGTTACAACATCTCCCTCTGCCGGTAGATTTTAATCATTACAGCAGTCGCCTAATTGTGACGTTGTACACATGTCAGTGTCCAGCATGGTGTCCTCCTTGAGTCTGTAAACAGCCTGGTTATCGAGAAACGGAGGTAAACTGATTGAAAGCTTTTACAGCGTAAGTTCCATTTAAGCAGCCTTTAATGTTTCTTTGCTCTGGCTTTTAATCCGCAGGTCTACACGCTGTGTTTGTGTCATTCTAGGTTTTTCTGCTTTCTTTACTGGATGGGATCGACACCACAGCTTCCACCTTGTGACTTTTTTGAATGTCACAATGGCTTTGAAAGTCGCGCTCCACAGACTTGTGTTTACGCACAGAACGCTGACAATTTGGGCATCCAGTCAGAGACACAGCCGGCACAGGGATTTACTTGTGAATCTCAGTGAAAGTGTCAGAGACACAAGAACTTTTTCAGGTGCCGCTGTGAAGCGTAACGATAATAAGGAGGGCACCTCCGACTATTCACGCCTGAGTACCAAGGTGACATCCAGGAAGAGGAGACCTCTGTCCCCGCTGGAGAGGATCAGTGGCCTGCTGCCCCAGGACGCATTGAGCCCTGAGGTGATGCAGCTGAGAGAGCAGGAGTCAGATAAGGGGGCAGAGATCCAAGGATCAGTCCCAAATCGCACGCAGGTAGAAGTTGGGGATGAGGACATCGTTAAAAAGTCTGAACATCAGGCTCACAGTCCACCTGTTGGAGCAGAGGAGTTGGACACCGGCTCAGTTCATCACCGGGAAAAGCAGGTGTGGGCGGCTCTGCCCGGGGAAAGGTTGCTTACCTGTGGAGAGCTGCTTGTTGCTGAGTATCGCAGAAAGCGCATGGAATTCAGGAAGATGTTCCAGCTGCAGACAGGGGCCCGTCTGGAGAGCAGCTGGGGGGTCATACTGCACAATGACATTGCAGGGCAGCCAGCAGGGCAGTTTCTGAAGACTCACCGGGGGGTCCCCATCTTTATAAGGCGAGCTAGTTTGGAGGATTATGTGCTGTGTATGAAGCGGGGACCTGCAATTGCCTACCCTAAGGTAGAGAGCAGTAAATGAATGATATATGCACACAGTTGCATTTCAGCTTCAGTGTTCCGACAGATAATCTATTGAGTGTTTTTCTTTCCTCAGGATGCAGCTTCTATGTTAATGATGATGGACGTCACAGAGGGAGACTGTGTCCTGGAGTCAGGATCTGGATCAGGGGCCATGTCTCTATTCTTGTCAAAAGCAGGTTTGAATTCCTATATGGAAGCACGATCTCCCAGTTTAGCTACACACAGAAGTTGATAGCAGATTGTTTTTCTCTTCCATTTGACATATCTGGATATGCAGACAGGTGATAAAATGAAAGAATTTCACTCAATTTCACTAGCCGGGACCACACCCTCAAATATGATTGGGCAAAATTTTTTGAAAGAGAATGGAAGTTGGAGTGAGCAAAGAACTCAGTGAGGGTCTGGTTCCGAGAAGGTGAGAACTAAGAAAGGCGTGGGGAGGGTGGGATTTGGAAATGAAAGCAAACCGGAATGTGAATTAATGATCTCCCAAAAGTGTCTGTTTTTATAAATTCAAAGTGGCTTTACTTAAAATAAATCAACAACATAAGCTACAGTTATTATTCGAATTCTTTTATCCCCCCCACATAAACAGACTAAATGTTCAAATGGTTAAATAATTTAGCTACATCTCAAATTTAAGCAAAATAAGCCCATTCATTACACTAATCAGAATCAGAATCAGAAAGGGTTTATTGCCAGATGTTGAGCAGGTTTACAACATTAGGAAATTGCTGCGGTGCTTCAGTGCAACATACTGTCATAAAAATATAAAAATAAGAATAGAATTAAAGTGCTAAGTGGATAGATATATACATGATATATACATGAGTGCAGGTGGTGATCAGTGCCAAACATGGAATGATGCAGTGAACACAGCGTAGGGTCATGTGTTAGTGGTGGGAACAGTCATATGGTTATTGTTCATGTGTCCGACAGCAGAGGGGAAGAAACTGTTCTTATGGCGAGAGGTTCTGGTGCGAATGGACCGGAGCCTCCTGCCTGAGGGGAGCAGGTCAAACAGACTGTGTCCAGGGTGAGAAGGGTCAGCTGAGATCCGAGCTGCACGCCGCAGTGTCCTGGAGGTGTACAGGTCCTGCAGAGATGGGAGTCTGCAGCCAATCACCTTCTCAGCAGAGCGCACAACACGCTGCAGTCTCTGTTTGTCCCTGATAGTGGCTCCAGCGTACCACACAGTGATGGAGGAGGTGAGGATGGACTCGATGATTGCAGTGTAGAACTGCATCATCGTCCGTGTTGGCAGGTTGAATTTCTTCAGCTGCCTCAGGAAGTACATCCTCTGCTGGGCTTTTTTAATGACGGAAGTGATGGTGGGCTCCCACTTCAGGTCCTGGGTGATGGTGGTACCCAGGAAGCGGAACGAGTCCACAGAGGTGATGGGGGTGTCAGTCAGGATGATGGGGGGAGTGGAGCTGTGTGCTTCCTGAAGTCCACAATAATCTCCACTGTCTTCTGGGCATTCAGAGGATATAAACTGTACATTTCTGCTCAAAACCCCAAAATAATTAAAAAAAAAAAAAAAGAAGTAAACACAATGGGATGTGAGTACAGGCCTTGTGCTTCCATAAGGTAAAAATTAATAGAAGACTTACAGCAGACTGACACATTAAATGAACACAAAGCACATATTAAATGAACAGTTTAATGTGAACTGATTTTATAATAAGGCGAAGATAAAGGGTAACAGCGTGGATCAAATTTCCATTTGAACTGCTGTCCAGGGAACGACTCAACTTCTCAAGTGCTGACTGTCCTCATTAATCTTCATGAAAACCAATAAAAGTCAAATCTGTGATGTGAAGGAAAGTGGTGGATGTCACATTTCCTCAGGGAAAAAGTCATTTAGACAAAGTGTAACTGCTTGCTGTGGAGCCTGATTATGTTTTTGTTTTCCCCAGTCGGCTCCAAGGGCAGCGTGCTGAGCGTAGAAGTCAGGGAGGATCATCACAGGAGAGCTGTGCTTAACTACAACCGCTGGAGAACATCATGGAGTCTGCGACGAGGGGAGGAGTGGCCCGATAACGTCCAGTTTCACAAGGCTGACCTCTGCACAGCCTCTTCGCTCCTTGCTGGTCGGGGATTTCATGCGGTCAGTGTCGGGTTGAAATGTTCCTCATTTGTAACATTTTTTGTCCTTCTATCAGTACAACACCACCTGAACACATCATTGGTTAGACGTAGATCTGATTATCAAGTGGATAATTTCTACTGCAGGTTGCTCTTGATCTGATCAACCCTCACCTGGTTTTACCCACTGTGATTCCACATCTCCACCCCGGAGCTGTGTGTGCTGTCTACCTCGCCAAGTATGAAGCTCGACCGTGTAATTTTCTACTTATAAACTAAATGTAGTTTATTCCTCTCACCCCAGCAGATTTAGACATTTTTTTCGTCACCATGTAATATTACCCGACAACTGCTTGGTTACATTTTCTAGAGAAGTGGAAAACTTGCAAAAGAAGAAATTTGTTGTAGATCCAGATTTCTATAGTTTAGCTGTGAAACTGGCCTTAGCACAAGAAGGGCCCATTGGAAACAGCTATTTGCTTTCTGAAGCGAAACACTTTTCTCTTGGCTGAAATTAGATGAAGACAATACTACTATTGTTATATCGGTATGTTTCATATCAAGTCAGAACCAGGAGAATGTTAGCTTGGCACAAAGAATAGAGACACAGGAGAAAACAGCCTGCCTTGATCTGTCTGAAGGTACCAAAGCTAACCTGCTAGTATTTCCAGCACACATTAGCTAATTTATTGGAGACCAAATACGCTACAGCTTCTGTGCCATGAGGAAAAAAAGAACCTTTCAGAAATTAAAAAAATTATTGGTCTTTTCTGCTCCGTTAACTGTGTCTATATACCACAGCATAACTCAAGTCACCGACCTGCTGGAAGGAGTTCGATGTTCAACACTCCCTTTACTGTGTGAACGCGTCATAGAGCTTCCACTCCGAGAATGGGTGGTGGCTCCAGCTCTTCAGAAGGATGGACGATACTGCAACAAGAAAGGTTTTCATCCAGGATTTGGGCTAAGTCAGGACGGCGAGGCATCGGAGGAGAGTGACAAAGGTGATTAAAAGTAACACGGCAGAGTCTCACAGAGTCCCCTTGAGTATTTCCACTCAAGTTTGATTGTCATTTCAGAAGACCTGACCACAGAGGAAGACCCTGACCCACCTTTTGGGAGTATCCCTTACATTGCTCGACCTCACCCTGAACAAATGAGCCACACAGGTCAGATGTTACCACGCATCTAGTCCCAGTATCAGTTATTGTATGATGATATAATTAAAAATATTAAATGTGTAATTTTTGCCTTTTTTCAGCTTTCCTGGTGAAACTGAGGAAGTGTGTGCAGTAACATTTCTACCTGTGGGGGAACCCTGAACACAGATTGTTACACATCAAATAAACGGTCTTAAAGAAGATAATAAAAAGTCAAAACTGATTTGTCCTTTAATGCAAAATTTGCCTTCTTAGTGAAAATGGCTCTGTGGCATAGTGAATATACAGAATCTGTGTGTGAGTAAAGAGCAACAGAACAGTTTAGTGTACTGAAGCAGGTTGCAATGAAGACTATGAAAATTCAAAAGTCTTGGATCATCAAACAGCACACTGGCAACACAACACCAATACAAACTACAAACTACAAACAAACCCTTCTGTGTAACTGACAGCATCCAGTGCTTAACTCATTTACATCTGTGAAAAATAGTATGTGACAGAGTCCACAAATAAGTTAAATAAATAAATAAATACCAACAACATTTTAAGCAAATCTAGGTTTCACACTAACAATCTTTTGGGGTTTTGTGCCCACAAACAGCCAACTTGCTTGTTTTAAATGACATAAGCTCATCGTTGTCACTTGTACTTCAAATATCTTGTGAGTACCTTGTTAACTTTTGAGGCGACTGACAAACTGGGGATTCAGACTTTTACTTCAGAGTAAAGTGCTATTAAATCCAGTAAAGGAAGCATTAACTGCTTGGTTGATTTAAACAGGAAGTCGCTGATGCTCTACTCATTAATCCAGTCCATGAAGGTGTTCAATGTCGACTTGCAGGAAGAGTCATTCCCTAAGAAAAAAGATGGAAACATGTAGTTAGGTATGAGTTTAAATCTTAACTGCAGAGCTTTATCTGTATACATACGAGCACAGTAAATACGTGTCCTGTGTTCCTTATATTGTGGCTGAGTTGCTGTCTTTCCCAGTCGTTTCCACTTTGTTATAAAGCCACTAAAAGTTGACTATATAATATTTAGTAGTGAGGAAACTTCACAGCTGGACTTGTTGCACAGGTGGCATCCTATCACAGTACTACTTCACCGAGCTCCTGAGAGTGACCCATTCTTTCACAAATGTTTATAGAAGCAGTCTGCATGCCTGGGGCTATTGATTTTATGCAGCTGTAGCAATAGAAGTGATTGGAACATCTGAATTCAGTTATTTGGATGAGTGAGTGAATGATCCCACTGATCCACTTAGTGGGACAATAGGTTCAAGTGCAAAAAATACTAACATTATGCGTTTTTGTTGAAGAGGAAATTATTTCTGCAGTTTGAATTGCAGGGCTTCTTGAACGTTGGTTTTAAACTTAACTGGGCATCCTATACTGACCAGCTCTTTACACTATAAACCACACAGTAAACAGAGACACCAGCATTAGTTATATATACTTGGTACCTCCTTTGGGATTTGCACAGCTGAGCCTCTGGAGGGAGGAGGTGTGGCCTATTCTGGTGTCACGCTTACATAGGGAACAGGACACAGGTGAGGCATAGGGCCCACGGGGAAAACGGACACGGTCGCCATCATTATACTGCCGCTGGGCACCGCCATGGTGATCGGAACGCTGCCGCTGCCACACGAAATGAGAGGACACAATGGCCATCACCTGGAAGACAGGTCGAAGAAATAAATACAGCTCAAACAGAAAAAAATAACAAAATAAATAAATCACATCACTGCAAAACACACCCACAGACACTAGAGATGGAATGTCTGGCATTAAACCCAAGCAATAAAAATGGCACTGCGCAGCAAAAACAAGACCCTTAAAAATTCCCAGAGAGGCACCATTTATCAGTCTCCTCAGGCAATTATACTTGTGTGTACCTCTTCACAGCAGCGCCTGCTGACAGCAGCTCTGTACTCTATGCGAGCCCACAGCTTGTCTCGCTGCTCAAGGAAGCGGGGAAACAGTTTTTTCCAGTTCTTGCCCAGTGCCCACGGAAAAATTTCATACTTGCTCTCCTCCTCATCCTCCTCCATGGTGTTGGCAAGATACCTACAGGAGGAGAGCGAGAGCCGAGTTCAGGGCTGTAGGTTTGCCAAGAAATATCACATATAAAAGCAGAAGCAAACAAAGTTTCCTTTTCATGACAGAATATAATACAGAAGCAGGATTTTCAGGCTTTTCTCTGAACTTACAGTGCAATGAAAAAATTCTTTCTGGTGTATTCAGTAATAGTGAAGCAGGCCCTTTTGAAGTACACAAAGGTCATGGCTAGGAGGTACTGATGAAATAGAGGGAAAAGATGGTGTCACTTTAAAGCATAACAACGTTTTGTAGCTTTCATCAAAGTAATAACTTTACCTTGTCTGTCAATTTATAGCAACCATCCACCCTTAGAAAGTCTTTTATCAGGTCATCCTCTGTAGACAAAGAGATGTTAATATATGAGAATTTAAACCAAATTTCACATTTTCTTGAGCGCATCCTGCTTTCTTGTTAGATCTATCTACCAAAAAGACGGAAATATGCTGCCATTTCCTGCCGCTGGACAACAGTTGACTGAGGCACTTTGGTAAAATACAGGTCACCCTGGTTTGACTGGATACTCCACACCACACCCCGGGTGTTTTGACCACGGTGTCTGCTGAGGCTTCTTCTGATTGGGCGAACATTTTTGCGTTTGACCCGAAGGGTAACAGAGGGAGGAGTTTTCATCATGCTTCAGCTTGAATCATCTGCAGAAAGGAGTCCTCTGGTATGTTATCACTGCAAATGAGAGAAAAAGTATGAGCAGTGAGCATCATCACTATAGACTGTCACTTTTTTTGGAGGGGGGGGTCAAAGGGGTCCACTAAATTGTGCCAAATTCGAGTTTCTTACCATCATTTGCCCTCAAGACACATTTAAAGAGCTGAATGTTTCTCTCTTTTCAGACATTTTTCAAGAGGCAATGTAAAAATTAAATTATGTCAAAAATGACTTTAACTAAGGCCTTGGGGAGGGGTCTGCTATGGTGTCTCTATCAATACGAACTTTCACGAGCGTGGCTAAAGCAAAACTAGAATGATACGTATGCTTAATTTCCCTAAATGATTTGGATTACCGCGTAGAAAAATGGGAACATTATTTAATAATGAATTTTCGCGAATAAGTTTAAAGTGTTTAAAGTTAGGCAGGTTATCTGTACGTCATTAACAATAGGCAGTAAAAGAAAGGGAAAGCCCGCAGCTCTTCAGCAACACGAGCTATCAGCTAGCTAGAAAACTGACTAAAAAAAAAAAAAAAAATCACTCAATTTAAGTGACGACTGTTTTTAGCGGCACAAAGAGACGCTAAAAAATTAAATAAGTATTGTTCTTATGAGAAGCTTAACTCTCATACTAACCAGCAACACGTTTTATAGGATGAAAGTGAGTATAAAGCAGTCGCTTCAGGACGCTGACCAGACGAGATAGTAGTTGGCAGCTCTGGCAGTTTCTGGAGCGCGCTTCGAGATCTGTGCCAGCGGTGCACCTGCGCGCGAGGACGAGCACGCACTGGCGCCACGTTTTCTTTGCTTATGGCGATCTCTGTGTGGAGTTATTATTAACAAGCCAAACAATGTAAATATGAAGAATACTATATTAAAAACACACCAAGCACTTAGAGTGTAAAAATCACATATCAGTTTCTAATGACTTTTTCTCTTAATGAGATATTTGTTTTGTTATATTTCATTTTATTTTGTTGAAATAGACAACAAAGGCTACCAATCTACTTATTTATGCTATTTTTCTGTGTATTGTGGTTGTTTATTGTGTTTGAGTTACATTCAAGGTGCTGTAACAAATGATTATTTTACGTTGGGGATAACTGATCTTATATAAGGGAAACTTTTGCAAGTTAATTTGTAGGAGGCAAAATCACAAAGGAGTAAATTGTGAACTTTATTTACTCCTACTTTATTTATTTAGTGTAGTAGTTAGTTTTGGTGGTTTGTTCTCACTTCATTTGATTGTTTAAGAAAAGGGGTGAAGGAAAGATGTGTAATACGCAATTATATTTGATTTAATGTTGTCAAATGTGGATAAAACAGAATCAGTGTAGCACATTTTCTAATTCTAATGAAAACAAAATGCTGTGTTTTTCTTTCTGTTTTTTTCTATTGGCTAAATTAGGATGTATTGTTTTGCAGGCTATAAAAAACCCACCTGAAGCCAGCCTTCATTACCCAAATGAGCTTAAGTTCTTAGAAGTAGGTGAGTTTTATATGACTTAACGTGACATATGTGCAGGCTGAGGAGTTCACTGAAAGACTCACTAATCCTTTCAGCTGCTTGTCCTTCATAAGGTGCAGAGGGATGTTTTTTTTCCGAACATGCTCCAAGGAAATTTTATTAAACATGGCCACCAAACTGTGGATTTATTCTGTCTGTCTGTGACAGTTGGAAGCAATTTGTAAAATGGATTTATCCACGTTTTGTTTTGGCAGTCTACTTGCGGAAAGGGATCTTACTCAACGAGTCAACGACATTAGCCATCTGAAAATGACAGCTGGTGGCTAAGAATCTTTGCTATTTTTTTTACACAATTTACTGCACTGTCTGTATTAGTGTTATCCAGGGAGAAGAGAGGAAAAAACACCCTGTACAGCAGAAATGGGTTGCTCACCATCTAAAGGTAACAATTTTGGCACTCTGGGTGCTATGAGGAAGGGGAGAATGCTACCCCCTGCACCTCAAGACAACCCCAGAGATCCACAGTTTGAAGATGAGGAAAATCATGTTTCATCTGGAGCTACAAATGGAGCTACAAAGGAAAAGAAGACAGGTGGACAAACCCAGGTACTTCAGAAAGAGTCACACATGACACCACAGAAAAAGAGGCTTGATACTGAGCAAGTGAATATGGAAGCAGTTAACATAGATAAGCTGGGGAATCAAGCAACAGAAAAAAGCACAGTATCACAGAGGAAAGAGAAACACAATGACAAACAGGATGTGGCAGACAAAAGGCTTAACAGGAAACCAAAGAAAAATGCCAAAGGTGCAAAAGTTCTTAAAAAGAAGGACAAAGACAAACTATCTGAAGAGCACAAAGTGGACTTTCCAGAACCCTTGGTAAAAGCTCACCAAGCTGCGTATGCCTTTTTGAATCCTAGCATAAACAAATATGATGTTTTGCTTGGACTCTTAGAACAAGCAGCTGAAACTCAGGTTTCTGTTCAGCCTATGGTAGCCTTCATGGCTCTACGTTACGAGGAAATAATTCAGGGACTAGAAGACATGGTGGAGGAGGGAGAAATCTTTTTAAAAGAAAATGGCGAACATCTTGCTTGGCCAAGCCAAATGAAAAATCTCTCATCCTCTACCCCTCTGAAGTCTGGCTCTCCCAATATCGAACCCCCACCGGATTTGTTGCAGCAGCTGCTTCAGTACACCACACAGAGAATGAGAAATGTGAGCCAGACTGTTGGAAGAATTGGGGACTGTGCTTTAGAAGAGGCAATGGAGTATTTTGCCTCCGTTTCAGAGCTTTTAGAGGAGAAACTTAAAGTCAAACGTGCAACAGAGAGTAGGTTAATGCAACTCTTATCCCGCATTGAAATGGCCTCTCTGCACAAGCCTGGGCCAGAGGATTCAGCTCTCTTTAGTGAGGACAGTGGAATTGGGGCTGAGAATGAATCCCTTGCTGGATCTGAGAGACGCCAAAGACGAGAGAGTTGTGAGTCTACCGGGACAAATAGAGCTACTCCTGTCAGTCCTCTGCGAAGAGTGTCAAGGAGAAAGCTTCGGGGTCAAATAAGTCCTAGTGTGTCCCTTACCTCACTCAACTCACTAGGTTCTACATGTACCATAATGGCTAATGACCAAAGAGACTCATTGCTAGGATCTGTCTCCACAGAGTACGGGGAAGAGGATGTCAATGATTATGATGAGGTGGACAGAGATATAGGAGATATCCAAGAAGCAGTTCAAAAGCAATTTAATTGTTCTCCTGTAGACTGTAAGCTACAAGAACCTCGACGTTTACCCCCAAAGAGGATAGAAAATCCTCAAAATGTAGAAATGACTATGAAAATGAAAAATGCAATAAGTGGTAGGATACAGTTTGTATCGTCACAAAACCCTAGTTCTAAAACAAAGGCATCAGCGAGCACAAAAACTAGCACACAGGATTGGACAGATGATGAGGTACGATCTCCAAGGAGGCCTCAAACAGCAGCAGCTGTACGAAAGGCACAAGTGAAAAAGACCCCGGTGAACAGGGGTCAGCGTTCCCGGTCAGCAGATTCCCTTCGGAGCAAAGGGGAAGATCCTACTCTTCTTGAACTAGAAAGGACCCAGAAAGATTTAAACCGGAGATTGCAGAGCATAAATAAAAGCAAAGAAGAAAGAAAAACAAGGACTGATTCTTTAAAACGAAACCAAGGAAACTCACCAGCACAATCTCCAGCAATAAATCAGAGACAGCCTTCATTAGAAAAGAAAAACAACCCCCAACCACCTAAAGACAAGGCAAGTCCTACAAAGTCCAATAGTAAAAAACAGGAGGCAACCAGTGAAGTTGATGATGATAAACAAAAAGACAAGAATATACCCAAGGGTCTTATAAAAGCCACTCCACCTCCTAGCCCCCCTTTATCACCCCAACCATCTTCTGGCCTTCACAGAGGTAGGAATTCAGTCAAAAAACTGATTGATACATTCAGTCAAGGAATAGAGGAACTAGAAGGTCCCAAAGTCCTGGGGCCTCTCAAAGGTGTGCGAAAATGTGGTGTTCCAGTGTTACCCGGTTTAGGAAATGTAGAAGCCGTGCTGACTGCTGGGATAACTAGCTGTAGGTCTGAATCTACAACATGTGAGAAAACAGATTTAGACCTGGATAGTCTTCCTCCACCAGCAATGGAAGTATTATTGGACAATTCCTTTGAAAGCGCTCAGAGTACATCAACTAGTGTAGCAGCAGATGGTGCAACAAAAGTAGGAAGATCACCTTTGTTGAAAAGGGGTTTAATATCACAACGATTGAAGGCCTCAGTTCAGTCAGTGACGGTACTGCCAAGCAAAGGAGGCTTGCCACAAACCTCCAAACACATTTCCCCTGTTAGAGTGGAACAACAAGAGACATTTCCTCTGTCTAAGGTCAATCAACCAGATTCGGAAATCAAAAAGGATTCCTTATATCAGCAACTCAGAAAGAACATACAACTAAAACCCTCTTCAAACTCTCAGTCAGAGAAATTGTCAACAAGTTACGTAGGACCATGTGTCACTCAAACAGAATTGAGAGACATACAAGATGGTGGTAACATTTCAGTGCCTGGATCCAACACCACAGCATCTTCTGTGCCTGCTTCGGTAGAGACTAGCCAAACACCTGCCACCCCACCTGTGTCTAGAGGGCGAATGTTGCCTTCCACACCTTCTACTCCAAGCAGCTTACATCGAAGACTTCCCAGTCCCCACAATTTCAAAAATCAGCCTACTCCACCCTCTTCATCTAGCCCCTCTCTTAACAGAACACTTCCTACACCACCTGCTCTTCAGAGGAGACTCCCCAGCCCACCCGTATCGAAGCAGAACATTTCGAGCTCAAACTCAGTCGCTTCATACCCTTTCAAAGCACCATCTCCCCCAGCTTCGCCAAAAGTACAAAGATGGTCAAGGGAAAATAGCAGTGAAGACTCATCAAGTGCTAGGACAATTAGTAATGCACGTTCAGTCTTCTGTCCCGTTTCTCCGTCCATGTTTGAAACCCAGCCTTGTTCAGTAAGCAAGCCCCCGCAAGCATGGACCTCAACCAAAGTTTCATTCCTCTTACATACTTTTGAGACACGTGGGAGGACTCCTGCATCTGTCCATGGGCCACGACCCTTTATCAGACGTAGCCATTCAGACCGGAGGCAGAGTCTAAGTCTGCCACAACAATCACAACGCATCTCAGTGGCTGAGACTTGTGGGAGTGAACCAGCGATATATTCACAGGGGTGAGATTTTACCACATTTGTACTTCTCTTAAATGATTATTCATGACTTTTGTTTGTTTTTTTGTTTGTTTTTTTTACCTTAAATTTATATAACGTTCTGAGAGAAATTCTGGACAAATGCTCCTCTTTGGTAGGAGCTACCCTATTTTATTTTAAAAACACCTACTTGGTTATGGTTTTGGAAAGAAAACAGTATTAATAACATACATAACAATTAAGTGGCATGGGGTCCACTTGGGAAGCAATTAAAAGATTTTTGAATATCACAATATAATAAAAGCAGGGTGACAAGATTTCCTTTTTTTAAAAGGAACTGCACAGGATTTCTTTTCTTTGTCCTCCTGTCCCACACCTTGAAACAATGTTCCCTATTTTGAATGTTTTTGGAGGATATGCACTTTTCTAAATCGTGGCTTTTACCTAATGCATGTAAAGGGACAGCTTTTTATTCAAGTTAAATGATGGTCTGTCTAATTCTGTAACCGTCAGGAACAGTTAGACATGACCAAAGATTCACAAGCGTTGCAGATTTTGGTGATTCAGATAGAAACTGCTACAAAGAAAATTAAGCA